ACCAAATCCAGCAGCATCAAAAAAAAAAAAAAAAAAAAAGGAAAAAGAAAAGAAACCAACAGTTTCAATGGAGATGTTTTTGTTTTGTTTTAATTAGAAGAACACCATCTTTAGCTTTGTGCCAAAGAAATTTGCAAATCTCCATTTAAAAGATGAGCCTTCTACCAGGACACAGAAGATTCTAATTTGGAACTTCAAGGCTGACAAATTCCATGCTTGTTTCTCCCTCACTTATCCCTTGAGACCACTCCTGAGTGGGCGGTCTTCCCAGAAGGCAAGGGCCAACTGCAGGTACCTCCTGCTCCCCGGAGCCCACCGGCACTAGCCTGGCCATGTGTGTGTTCAGTGGGCATGGAGGATCAGTGCACCTTGGGGGGTGGGGCTCACCTTGTTGGCACAGCTGAAGCCCAGCCCCAGCTGGGCCAGGACCTTCAGCACACCTGGGCTGCTGTTGCACTTGACAACGTAAAAGGGCTGGACTCGTGGCAGGCACTTCAGAAAGTAGAAGTGCTTCCTCACTATGGCACCCAGGTCAGCCACGAAGAAGGCAGCGGCCTTGTCCTGAACAAGAAGAAGTGGATGAATGTGAGACCCCATCCAGCTCCTACCCCCGCATTCCATCCATGATCCTTCCAAGTACCTGTCCCAGGTTCAGTACTGGCCACAGAGCTACCCTGCTGTAAAGTTTTCTGAGCCTCCCCAACCCTACAGGACGGAAGGCAAACTCATCAGCCTGGCATTGAAGGCTCTGTGATCTAGCCCCAGTCCCTCCCCTCAATGCAGCTAAAACTCCAGCTGTAGGCTGGATCATTTTTCCACCTTCGAACCTTTGTTCACACCATGCCCTCTGCAGAATACCCTTCCCCCTCCTGTGTCTGGCCAAATCCTTAAATTTCAGCTCAAATGCCACCTTCCCCAAACCAACAAGGCAACTCTGCTTTTAAATGCTTCCACGGCATTTTGGATGTGCTTCCAAGGTATCAGAACTGTATATGCATCCGTCCATTCTAGAAAAGGGTAAACTCCCTAAAGGCAGAAGCTACGACCTACAGCTCACTGCCTTCCAAACACAGGTGCTCAATGAACCCCTAAGCTAGTCCCACTGACACTGCAACCTATACCTATGGACAAGTGTTCATTGCAGATGTGCTAAAGGCTGAACATGTATGAGGCTGTGGGTGAGACCACATTACTTAAATGTGGAAGGGACCTTCCAAAGTCGCTTTCCTGGCACTCAGTTTCCCTTTCATGCGACACGTTTTTACTGATGCCCACTTGGTGCCAAACATTGTGCTAAGGGAGAGATGACCAAACAGCATTGTTGCTCTGAAGAAGCTTGGGTCTGGAAGAAAAGGAAGCCCTTAGGTACTTACAAGTCCATTCAGTAGATGCTAGATGGAAGTTTCTACAAGGTGCAGTATGGGGACATGGAGAAAGAAAATATAAAATCTGCCTGGGGTGAGCAGGAAAAGGCAGCACTGATGAAAAGCAAGGAATAACTAGAAAGGGGTAAAGAGGGGAGAGGCTGGGAGAAGGATGCTGCAGGCGGAAGAAACAGCCAGGGCAAAGGCATGGTAATAGGGCGCATGGCATCACTGGGAAATGTGAATAGAGTCATTCAGCTCTGATGGAGCATAATATATACTTTGGGGAAAGCTGGGAATGGGGCTATGGAGGCAGGGAAATTCCTGCCTTGATCCTGTAGGCAGTGGGGAATTGCCAAAGAATTCTGATTTTGAACAGAACTATGTTATATTTGGAGGGGGTGGCATGAGACAGGGAGGAGACTGGGGGACCTTTGGAGAGGTGAAGACTGAACTAGTAAGTGAGGTTCCACATAACCACACTGGAGGGTTATTTAAGGAGGCAGAATTCACAGAGCTTGGTAATGCCTAGATGTGGGCAGTGAGGGAGAGGGGGCAGCTGGAGAAGAATCCCTGGCTTCTGACCTTGGAGGGCTGGGTAGAAAGGCAGGTTTGGGGGCGAGGACCAGGAATTGGGGATAAATTGAGATGTTCTCTTGCAAATAGCAAGGATTGGGTACCAGATAAGTGAAAGGATACGATAAGGCCCTAGGGACCCTTCCAAAGGAGGCAGCTGATCTGTACAGGGGACTGGGGACCCACCCCCACTCCCAGTCCCAGTCCCTCACCGTGGTGGCCTGTGAGGCCCCCAGAGTGAGTTCCTCCAGCAGGTCTTGGGTACTGAAGCCCTCCTCCACCATCACAAAGTCCGATTCACTCAGGTAGCCAGCCATGCCTTGGCAGGAGGAGCTGACGGGTTGGATGGAGCCGCTGCTGCAGCCGCCGCCTTAAAAAGTATGCAACACACTGCAGGAGGGGGAGATGGAGGGAACTGCTGGGGGACCGGCTCCGCTGCCCACCCCCCCAGGCCAGGGATCCCAACCCCGTCACAACCCGCCCCAGCACAAGCCTGGGGTTCACTAGGCAAGGGTGGAGAAAGTCAAGAATCCTGGATTTCAGACCAAGACAAGGCACCGTATGCCCAAATGTCACTGCCTCTCTGAGTCAGTTGCCTCATCTGTAAAATGGATGAATTGTTTTGAAGAGCCTTTCCAGTTCTGAAATTCTGGATTTCAGGAAAGAGTGAAAGAGTGAGAGGGGGAACAGGAAAACTGAGAAGCTTGGGTGGGAAAGTTTCCAGGGCACCCCAGTCCTGACCACGTCCACCTAGAAAGTAGCCGGTGGCCACCCCAGGGAGTAGTCTCAGCCTGAGAACAAGAGCTTAAGTTAGAGTCCACTCTCTACTGCTAGACCTTGGGTACACTCTGACCCTTCTCGGAGCCTCAGTTTCCCCACTTGTAAATGGGGGCTGGACTAATCCTGACATGCCAGAATTCTAAGGGTGCCTGGGGGCACCACGTGGTGGGTGGGGGCCGCAAGCTCCCGGGAGAGAACAGAGGGCCGAGGTTCTTTCTGTCCGAGTGACTCCTCCCAAGTGTAGGGCCGAGGTCCACCCCATCCCCCAGGACCCCTTACCAAGCTCCGTCCTCCTTCGCGGGGGCCAGAGCCAGGCGCGCTGCTAGGGGGGGTCGCCGGTGACCTCGAAACTTGTGCAACACTCCGAGGAGGAGTGGCAGTTGCGGAGCCGAGGCCCCTGCTGAAAGGAGGCAGAAGGGGCCAGGGGGCAGGTCAGCACCAGAGCGGAGGGCGTCCGCTCCCCGAGGCTCCCCAGGCCACTCCCCGCACTCGCCTTAAAACGCATTTACACGGCTTCGGCCCATAGGTCTCCCCAGCGAGTGAATCGGATCCTCCGCGCCTCCGCTCTCTCGCTCCCCCGGGCTCGGGCCCCGCGGCCTGTGCCCCGCCCGCCCAGCAGACACCGACCCCACGCCCCGCCTTCCACCCGCCGCTCGCTTATATAGCCCCGCCCAGGCCCCGCCCACGTGGTCCAGGCCCCGCCGTAGCCCTGGCAACCAGGTGCCGCCATCCCATTGGTCGATTCCGACATAAAGCACTCAGCTCGGCCCACCCGTGCTGCAGTCTTCCCCGCCCCACCCCCCGGAGGCCTAGCGTGGCTACCCCATGCTGGGAAATCGAACTACAGGGCCACCGCCACACGGGTGGGACACTTAGACCCTGCATCTTAGGTCTTAGAAAGTAGACAGGAAGCCTTTTCTGCCACTGCCTCAACTTACTTCGTGGTACCACTCTTCTCTCCTGTGGGAACTGCTCACTCATCTCTCGAAACCCGGTTCAAATGTTATGTCCTTGTATTGCTTTTGTAATGAAATTCTTTTAATTGCCTCTTCCAGGCACTTCTCCGACTCCAACTCAAAACGCAGCTAAAATGTCTTCAGACAGCGTTTTTGTGACTTTCCCAGTTCAGGGCAATCCCTCCCTTTATCCCATCCTCTGAACCCGGCAAACTCTTTCTCACCTCTCAAGGGAAATGTGTCTCCTTCTCCAAGAAGCTTTCTCTGACTTCCTCAACTCAAAGCATTTCTTCCATACCAACAAGCTGTTGCTCACCCATCAAAGTCCAGTATAATGTCACCTCCTCCGTTGGACCTTCCGTGACTTGCCTGGCGCTAAGGAACACAGCAATTTGTCTGGACTCCTCACTCACTTGGTTCTTGTTACCCATAGCGTGAGATTCCTGTTGTTATTTTACACTTCTTCTTTGGTTACACTTTGCAACTAGTTTGTGATTTCCCAAGGGCAGGGACTGAATACCCTGCTCAAGTGCCTGGTGCCTGGCACAGACAAGAGTGTGCAAGAAGATTCAGTGTAATCCTAGCACTTTGGGAGGCCGAGATGGGCACATTACCTGAGGTCAGGAGTTTGAGACCAGCCTGGCCAACATGGCAAAACCCCGTCTCCACAAAAAATACAAAAATTAGCCAGATTTGGTGGCACACATCTGTAATCCCAGCTACTTGGGAGGCTGAGGCAGGAGAATCACTTTAACCCGGGAGATGGAGGTTGCAGTGAGCCGAGATCACACCACTGCACTACAGCCTGGGCAACAGAGGGAGACTCCGTCTTTTTTTATTCAATAGCTATGTTACTCAAAAGCTGATTCAAAGTTCATCTGGAAAAGAACAGTCAAGACATTCCTGGAAAAAAAGAAAGAAGTCTTCCTCTATCATATCAATTTTTTATTTTTATTTTTTGAGACGGAGTTTCGCTCTTGTTACCCAGGCTGGAGTGCAATGGCGCAATCTCGGCTTACTGCAACCTCCGCCTCCTGGGTTCAGGCAATTCTCCTTCCCCAGCCTCCTGAGTCGCTGGGATTACAGGCACGCGCCACCATGCCCAGCTAATTTTTTGTAGTTTTAGTAGAGACGGGGTTTCACCATGTTGACCAGGATGGTCTTGATCTCTTGACCTTGATCTCTCGATCTCTCGATCCACCCGCCTCGGCCTCCCAAAGTGCTGGGATTACAGGCGTGAGCCACCAGTCCTGGTCATATCAAAATTTTAAAATAAAGCTATAGTCTTTTAAACTGTGGTGCTGGAGCAGGAAGAGACAGTGCTAGAACAGAACAGTCTAGAACAGTTCCATACACATTGGAGACTGGTACACAATGAAGATAGCATTTCAAATCAATGAAGCCATAGGGCTTTTGGTCTACCATATGTCTTCATGTCCCCTGCTAAGCTGCAGGCTTTTTTTTTTTTTCTTTTGAGACAGGGTCTGGCTCTGTCACCCAGGCTGGAGTACAGTGGCATGACTTTGGCTCACTGCAACTTCCGCCTCCCAGGCTCAAGTGATCCTCCAACCTCGGCCTCCCAAGTAGCTGAGACTACAGGTACATGCCACCATGCCTTGCTAGTTTTTGTATTTTTTGTAGAGACAGAGTTTTGCCATGTTGCCCAGGTTGGTCTCAAACTCCTGAGATCTAACAATCTGCCTGCCTCATCCTTCCAAAGTGCTGGGATTATAGGCGTGAGCCACCACACCCAGCAGGCTGTAGACATTTTTTTAAATCAGAGGCACTTCTTGTCTTGCCTTAGTATCTCCCTAGGACACTCTGTACAACCTAGTTAGAACATGCTCAGTACACAGATGGTGCAGGGCAGGGACCAGAGGCAGGGAGAGCCATTTTCTGCTCCCTGCCCAACTGGGACATATAATTGCTGGGTGTCCTTGACTGCGTCACCCCAAATGGATCTGGGTCACTTCTGCCTGGCTTGATTTCCCCCTGTGAACTGAGAGGTTTCAAACTGATTTTTCTGGGCCCTTCTGCCTGGAACCTTCTTGTTTTCTATGCAGAGGAGTAGCATTTCAGGAGGCAGCTTTATAGGTCTGTTATTTGCAGAAGTATTCTTTGAGATTAGTAGTCATTTGCAACATAGCATGAGAACAAGTATCTACCAATCAGGAAAGCGTAGGTCAGGATAGCCATGGCAGGAACCTGAAAAGATTAGACTGAGAGGAGGGAAGAGCACCTGAATAACTTTGGCTCTACTTTTGGTTTAATCATTCTTTGAAATGGCTGCATTTGGATGTCATGATCTGGGTCTGCCCCACCAGCTTTTTTCATCACCCAGTAGACACGTTATGCTTATTGAATGAATCAATAGAGGTATGAAACAAAGGAACCAGAATCCAGTCTGTGCATTTGGAATCTATCAAGAGTAAGTAATCAGACCAGAAAATCTGCATCCTGGACTGGGTACAAATAGGCTGTGGCTTTTTCTTTTTCCCTGCTTGTTATGTGATGTCATTAAAATTCCATGACAACCCTATGTCACAGGAGCTACAATTGTTCTCATTTTACAAATGAGGAATATGAAGCTCAGAAAAGTTCAGTAACTTGCCAGGATCACAAAGCAAGTAAAGGTGGAGACTAGATGTGAATCCAAGCCAATCCTGACCTTTATGCTTGACTGCTACTCAGTGGCTGAGAATTCTGTCCCCAGCTCAATAAAAGTTACACACACCCTGCCAGCATCCAACCCAAAGGCCGGTGGCTTCTCTTCTGCTGGTCTCTCTTGCTACTGCCGTCTTAGCATCTATGATTGCCGTGCTGAGCCCTGAAGCAGGATAAAAAGCTTCTGATCTCTAGTCAGCCAATTCAATCTATTCTTCATAAACCAAGAGGAATCATAGTTACAAATGTTGCGATAATAAAAATGCCTTATTAGTACATAGAACAGGAGAGTTTGAAAAATACTTTCCTGTTCATCATTTTATTCAGGCTTCCCAAAATCCCACCAGTATTAATTTCTTAGGGATGCCATAACAAAACTCCAAAACCGAGTGGCTTAAAATAACAGAAATGTCTTGTCTCCTAGTTATGAAGGCTAGGAGTCAGGAGTCAAGAAGTTGGCAGGGCCATGCCCTCTCTGATGGCTCTAGGAGAGAATCCTTCCCTGCTTCTTCTAGCCTGTGGTGTCAGCTGGCAATCCTTGGTATTCTTGGCTCATAATGCGTCACTCCAGTCACATGGTTGTCTTCTCCCTGTGTGTCCTCATATGATCTTCCCTCTATATGTATTTGTCTCTGGGTCCAAATTTCCCCTTTTAATAAGCACACTTATCATATTGGATTAGGGCCCACTCTAATGACCTCGTTTTAACTTGATTATCTCTGTAAAGTCCTGTTTGCAAATAAGGTCACACTGTGGTACTGGGGTTAGGACTTAAAAATGACTATTTACAGGGACACAATTCAACCCATAACACCACCAAACACTTCTTTTTATATAATTGACCAATATATAGATCCATGATGACACCTAGTTGTGAAGGAGGTGGGAAGACATAGTCTTTAATTGGGTACATTGCTGTTCCTCTTACCCCCCAATAAAGTCAAAATACTAAAGAAGACAGGAAGAGTGCATATTTTGTAGTAACTAGTAGGGAAGATTATTTCTCCCTTTTAGAGATCAGTATACCGCCAGTGTGGCAGCTCACGCCTGTAATCGCCAACACTTTGGGAGGCCCAGGCAGGTGGATCACTTGAGGTCAGGAGTTCAAGACCAGCCTGGCCAACATGGTGAAACCCCATCTCTACTAAAAATACAAAAAATTAGTCGAGCATGGTGTTGGATGCCTATAGTCCCAGGTACTGGGGAGGCTGAGGCAGGAGAATCACTTGAACCCAGGAAGTGGAGGTTGCAGTGCGAGGAGATTGCACCACTGCACTCCAGCCTAGGCAACAGAGTGAGACTCCACCCCTAAAAAAATAAAGAAATAGCCGGGCGCGGTGGCTCAAGCCTGTAATCCCAGCACTTTGGGAGGCCGAGGCAGGTGGATCACGAGGTCAAGAGATTGAGACCATCCTGGTCAACATGGTGAAACCCCGTCTCTACTAAAAATACAAAAAAATTAGCTGGGCATGGTGGCGCGTGCCTGTAATCCCAGCGACTCAGGAGGCTGGGGAAGGAGAATTGCCTGAACCCAGGAGGCGGAGGTTGCAGTGAGCCGAGATCGCGCCATTGCACTCCAGCCTGGGTAACAAGAGTGAAACTCCGTCTCAAAAAAAATAAATAAATAAAATAAAATAAAATAAAGAAATAAATAGCCAGGCACAGTGGCTCATGCCTGTAATCCCAGCACTTTGGGAGGCTGAGGCGGGCAGATCACAAGCTCAAAAGATTGATACCATCCTGGCCAACATACTAAAATCCCTGTCTCTACTAAAAATTC